AAGAATAGATAACCGTCAACAGTCAAATGAGCGGTACAGCCACCGTCAGACCAGAGAATAATATTTTATTTTTTTAATAACAATAACATTGATAATAAGCTGTAGTTTGTAATCTATATATATATAGGTGAAAAATTAAGGCTTCCGCCTTTTGTTGGGTACTTCGACAAAATTTAAGCAAAGAGGACTCTTTATACTTTTTTTAATTCTCTCTAGCTTTCAATGGACTTTGCCATCATCATCAGGAGCTGCAATTACAATGATAACAGTAGCAACAAAAGTGTAAAATGAATTTAAATTGACTCAACTTACAGTAGTATGTGAGGATGTTGCTAATTGTTGTTTACGTATAGGATGAGGAAAACGTCCAGTAACATGGTGAGAGCTGGATAGATTGTACAATGGTCAAAATTATATAAAATATGACAAGAACAAGTTAAAAACAGATTAAAAATTATTTAAAAAACATTAGAGCATTACATCGTGACGCCACTTGATGATTGCACAAATTAGTGGTCATGGAATAATGAGTGAGATGAAACCCTTTGACAGAAGGCCGAAGGATGTCAATGTCTGTGTTGAAAGATGGAACGAATTGTGGGCGTGTGCCAAACGTTGCCAAATCACTTCAGATGATGTGATTTTCAGAATTTTATGTAAGAATTTGTTAAACCGACCAGAGGCAGTTGAATAAACTATATTTTAATTAATGGGAATTTAAATTAACAATTATTAATAAATCGTGAGAAGAGAATTATTATATTTTGAGTGGAATGAAATTTACTGGTGGAATCGGCCAAAACACAGATTCTAATTATGGTTGTGAAGCAGCTTAGCAAATATGAGTAAATGACACTCAGTTGTTTAACATCTGTCTTTTTGTTGATACAGTTGTTATTCATGAAGATGTGGGACATTTCCAGGAATAAACGTTTGGAAAGGCGTTTTTCTTTATCAAGAACTTTGATACTTGTGTAATTCATAGAATCAAGTATCAAAGTTCTTGATAAAGAAAAATACCTTTCCAAACGTTTATTCCTGGAAATGTCCCACATCTTCATGAATAACAACTGTATCAACAAAAAGACAGATGTTAAACAACTGAGTGTCATTTACTCATATTTGCTAAACTGCGAAAAATTGGAGAACTTACATATCTCCCCAAATTTCGACTCTTCACAACCATAATTAGAATCTGTGTTTTGGCCGATTCCACCAGTAAATTTCATTCCACTCAAAATATAATAATTCTCTTCTCACGATTTATTAATAATTGTTAATTTAAATTCCCATTAATTAAAATATAGTTTATTCAACTGCCTCTGGTCGGTTTAACAAATTCTTACATAAAATTCTGAAAATCACATCATCTGAAGTGATTTGGCAACGTTTGGCACACGCCCACAATTCGTTCCATCTTTCAACACAGACATTGACATCCTTCGGCCTTCTGTCAAAGGGTTTCATCTCACTCATTATTCCATGACCACTAATTTGTGCAATCATCAAGTGGCGTCACGATGTAATGCTCTAATGTTTTTTAAATAATTTTTAATCTGTTTTTAACTTGTTCTTGTCATATTTTATATAATTTTGACCATTGTACAATCTATCCAGCTCTCACCATGTTACTGGACGTTTCCCTCATCCTATACGTAAACAACAATTAGCAACATCCTCACATACTACTGTAAGTTGAGTCAATTTAAATTCATTTTACACTTTTGTTGCTACTGTTATCATTGTAATTGCAGCTCCTGATGATGATGGCAAAGTCCATTGAGAGCTAGAGAGAATTAAAAAAAGTATAAAGAGTCCTCTTTGCTTAAATTTTGTCGAAGTACCCAACAAAAGGCGGAAGCTTTAATTTTTCACCTAACTGGTCTAGACGACAATGACCACGTCTCAAGTTATATACAGGGTGTTCCATAATTATTGCGACAAAATGATAGGGGTTGTAGAGGGCATAAAAATATGCAATTTTGCCTTATAAACCCCTGTTCGTAAATATGCCGTTTGAGCACTACCGCTAATTTTACCTTAAGAGCTCATATTAGAAACACAAAATTCACCAGCTGCAAAATGTTCGTCTAGCACATTTCATGGTCTCGCCGGTTTGTAAAAAAAGCCTGCTGTGTTTACATTTTTGTTATCGTAAATTCTCCATACCGATTCATTTAATTTATCTGAGTGGTGCGTCAAACTAGATAGTAAATAACAGTACCTTAGTGTTAAAATGCAGCGTTATTCGTATGCGGAACTTGCGGATATGCATTTAATTTACGAAGAAGCTGGTGGTAACGGAAGACGAGCCTCGCGAATCTACGCCCAACGGTTTCCAGAACGTCCTCATCCGCATCACGCCATTTTTGCAAGGATTCATGGAGTTGAGGCAACCAAACTTTGGTCGCTACGTTTTGTTCACTGACGAGTCCTGTTTTACAAAGGACGGTTATTTTAATAGCCGAAACAGTCACATTTGGGATGAAGAAAACCCTCATGCCATAGCCATCCATAGAGACCAACATCAGTTTTCAATTAACATCTGGTACGGCATTGTGGACGAGCATATCATCGGGCCATATTTGCTTCCACCACGTTTGGATGGGCATGCTTATGGTCGATTCTTACAGCATGTGCTACCGGAACTATTAGAAAATGTGCCACTGAACATAAGAGCCAACATGTGGTTTCAACACGATGGCGCTCCAGCCCACTTTTCTTTACAAGTGCGGCAGTATTTGGACGACAAATTTCCAAATAGGTGGATAGGTCGAGGTGGCCCTGTGCCTTGGCCTGCGAGGTCACCCGACCTGACCCCACTGGATTATTTTCTCTGGGGCCATCTGAAAGCTTTAGTGTACGAAACTCCTGTTCCCAACCAACAAGAGCTACTGGGAAGAATGATGGCCGCGTCCGCACATGTTCAGGACATACCAGGGGTATGCCACAGAGTTCGCCGATCATTGAACAATCGTGCACAGCTGTGTATTGAGCAAGGTGGAGGACACTTTGAGCAATTACTGTAGGTAAGCTGTTTCAAGAAACTGATCTTTTTTTTTTTTGTTGCAGCCCAAACGGCATATTTCCGAACAGGGGTTTATAAGGCAAAATTGTTCATTTTGATGCCCTCTACAACACCTATCATTTTGTCGCAATAATTATGGAACACCCTGTATACAGGGTGACTTTGAAGTTGAGTCATTAATTTTCAGATAATGATTGTAGAAGGAAGATAAACCAAAATATGTGTGTAAAATTAAAAAATAAATAAAAAAAAAATTTTACCTTGTTTAATAAAGTATCGTCCCGACAAGTATTTCAGTGCGGACCTGTATTTGATCGTGCGGTATTGGAGCAGCATGCCCTGACCTGTGAGGTCTTAAGTCACCTGATTCACGAGCACTTTGTACTACATTAACAAAGGCACGAGGGGTTGGTTGCACTCGATTGGGAAACTGATTCGCATAAATCCGTGATGCATCCGGGAGCATTTTGTAAAGACTGCCCCCCCGTAAATAAGAATCATGTCCACAAGTTCAGCATTTTCGTAAACATGTGCCATTTTTGATTTCGTTTGAGCCACGCAACAAACACTTACTATTTATTCACTAACGCGTTATCGACTGACGAAAAACATCGTGATAAACGTTTCAAATTCTTTCGCTTTTTTGTTTCCGATGCGATGAACCGGTCAGGCGGATTATATCCGTTGTCGCCAAACACGAACATATTATTATTGAGACAGGGCAGTACTCAAACTTCCAAAGGGCTATAACTTTGTTACTTTAATTTTACCAGAAAAATGGTAAAGGAAAAAAACATTTCTTTTGATCAGATCTACTCACTGTTAAAATAAATGACTCAACTTCGAAGTCACCCTGTATATATATATATAGAGAGAGAGAGAGAAGAGTTTCCGTAACGTGACCCCATATTTTATTATATTAAGTTTTTGTTAGACAAATTAAAAAGCCCCGACATTCGAATGAACTCTTCCATCTGTTACCCCATTCGAGCATATTAGCTGTCTTTGGGTTGCTCACCCCCATGTTCACCCCATAACTTTCAAACAGCTGAATCGACTTTCATCAAACATAGTCAAGAGCCATCTCGACAGTTAAAAATTTTGACCAAACAAAACGTTCTGAAATCGGTCAATACTTTTGAAGGTTTTGCATCAGCGGCGAAACATCATACAAAAAATGACCTTCGTCGTAAATCCTTTCACTGAAGCACATGCACCAGGTTTGGTGACTGAAGTCACTGTAATCACTTGGCTGCTAACGTAAAAGTCGGTGATTGTGACTTAAGTATAATAAGTAGCCATATAACCTCGCGAAACTTTTTTGTGAATAATGATATAAGCATGTAGTACCTTATTTTAAGTAACATGAATACATTTTGCATGGGCAAATTTTTGATGCCTTGGTAATAATACAGTTATATTTCCGTCAACACTAAAAATTATAATTCCTGTAACTACCTCAGAATCCTTCTATCCAATGGTGGAAAATACCGTATGAAAACCCGCTGCTTCTCGTTACACTGGACGCGGGCAGGGTGTCTGCTATGTGTGAAATATGTTTAATATGTCCGTAGAATTACCGGGGTTAGAAGAGTACAATCACCTACAACTCTCAACCTTCAATTATTGATCCCTATAATTTTATTTCCAAAAGCGATCAGTATTTTTTCGTGGTGAAAGTGTCGTGTAAAATCCTAATAACGTCCCTTTTTCGAAATTTTTGCGATTGCAATAGTTCCTCGCCAACGGCACAAGAAGTGAAAATCCAATTCGAATTACCCATTTTCAAGATACTAGATTATGATTGCTGAGCGTACCCTTAACAGCTTAAAATCAACTTCAGGACGTAATGTCGGAAGCTTTAACCATTAACGAGGCTTTGAATTATAGGCACTATATTTGTTTTACATTTTATGGCTTTTCAAAGATCATAATCTTTCTTGTTTGATACCTAACTTAAACTATGACTTACCTACAATTCCAACAGCAGAGAAAATCAAAAGACACCGCGCTGTGAACAAATTCGTAAGTCCTGCACATTTTACAACCATGTTTTTCGAATACAGAGAGATTATTGGGCCTGCTTCACGTGCGAAACATTTTACAACAAATATTTTTTATCGAACATGTTACGATAAATAAATATAGGTGAAACTATTATAAAGTAATATTATATCTGTGTAAAACCCAACAATAAATCCAATTTCGTACTGAGCATTTTCACATTTTTACAATCTCCGAGTGTCACGGCTCACGGCTGCATAGGCGCGCTGAAGACTATGTTGCACAAGGAGTGTGCTGGACCGGCAACTACTCGTTACTCTTTGCCCCAATAACAAATCATATATGAACAGCTATTAATTTTTTTCTCTCCAGTAAATACTGTTTCATAATTTTTAGACTCAAGTCTCTAGAGCAAGACTACTTCAAGGCGAATATCAACTATTACTCACTGAGGCTCTCTTACGTGTCTTGCTATCAGGAGCTGACGAAAGGGAAATGAAAACCAAGTTAGTTTGTTGCTGAAAATACGTGAAATTCGTAGTGAAATTGGTTACGTATGTGAATGCAGTAGTAATGTGTAAACAAGCTTTTATTTAGCCGTTAAAAAAAACTAAACAATTAATGATATTTTTTCCGATTGAAAATATGCCATTTTATACTTCTTAGACTTCAAACGATAATGAGGCCCCTTCGTCTCTGGTTTTCAAATAGAAGCCTGGTACATTTTTGTTTCTCTTGGTGTTAAGGTATAACATGCTTTTTCAGAATCTGAGACGATTGGGCTAAGTAGCCTTGTTTTTAAACATGTTTATTCTTATATTTATTCATTTGATTTTTAGTATCTACGATCCTGCTGGCTCAGTTGACTCTCTAATTCATACATTTCTTGTTAATAAGACATCATAAATGTCCAATATAGATCATAGGTATATTACGTAAGTTCGGACTTATATCTATAAATATGATTCTTCAATTGACGAATGTATAAAACGAGCCTACATTTTAGCGAAGTGAAATTTGATAAGTTGAATTTGATAGATGAATATTTACATAATAGTCGATTAACTTAATCATCAAACCCTAGGGTCAGGATACTTGTCAAGAGAATCAAACGAGCCCTAACTCGATGGGTTTACTTTTCCGCCTTATTTGAGCCCTGCTAAGATTTTCAACCAACAATTTTACGTTGAAATATGATATTCTGGCATAATCGACTTATTTAAAAGCACTGTATATTTTCAGCAACATAGGTACTTCGTATTGAAATCTCTTAGTTTGTTCGCGCTGTCCTTAGAGCCTGAACGCGTGTTGCCTCCTCACCAATATCAGATTGTAAATTCAAGAGAACTAGCTTAAAATAATTAGGAAAAAAATCGTCAACCAAGTAGACGCATACATCTTGTAATCCTTTACTTCTGACGGGAAAGAATGGTAATCGCGAAAATTTTCCAAATAAGTTACTAAATTTTTTGGATCTTATATGACATACCATACAGGGTTTGTCCGGAAAATAATAGGACTGAGTCGATTTAAAAAAATTATTGAGCCAATCGTTACAATTCTTTAAAAACTTTCAAAATAGGCTCCTTCTGCGTCGATGCAGCGCTGTCAGCGCGATTTCCAAGCATTGAAGGCGTCACTGAAGGCATTCTCCGGAATAGCCTTGAGAGCCGCGGTGCATGCTGCTTGGATCCCCTCTGTCGTCTCAAAATGCTTGCCTTTCATCGGCCTTTTCAGGTGAGGAAAAAAAAAGTCCGGGGGGCACATCTGGGCTGTAGGGCGGCTGCGGAAGCGTTGGGATGCCGGCCTTGGTCAGGTAGCTTTTCGCAAGAAAGGCAGTGTGAGCCGGGGCATTGTCGTGGTGCAACTTCCAGTCGGCTGCGATGTCTTGTCGGACCCGACTGACCCTTCGTTTGAGCCTCCTGAGCACTTCCACGTAAAACTTGGCGATGACGGTTTGTCCAGGAGGAACAAATTCATGGTGGAAGATGCCTTTGATGTCAAAAAAGACAATGAGCATCGTTTTCACTTTGGATTTGCTCATTCTTCCATTTTTTGGGCGAGGAGACGCCGTCGTGTGCCACTCGGAAGATTGCCTCTTTGTCTCGGGATCATACTCAAAGATCCACGACTCATCACCTGTGATTACGTTATTCAGAAATTGGGGGTCTATTTCATACATGTTCAAATTTTCTTGGCACACTTCCACTCGCCGCAATTTCTGGTTGTCAGTGAGCAGTTTTGGGACCATCTTCGCGCACACCTTGCGCATCTTCAAATGCTGTGTCACAATGTTATGAACCACAGATTTTGGTAAATTTAACATCTGGGCCATTAAACGAATACTTAGTCGACGGTGTGAGTTCAAAACTTTGCGCACACGAGTCACATTATCGGTGTTTGTCGAAGTCGAAGGTCTTCCAGCACGGTCTTCATCAGCGACCCCTTCCCGACCATCCAAAAAAGCCTGGTGCCACCGAAACACACCACTTCTTGCTAAAACAACACCTGGGTAAGCCTGCTTGATCATATCAAACGTCTCTGTCGCAGATTTACCGAGTTTCACACAGAATTTAATCGCGTACTTCTGCTCGCGCGAAAATGCATCTCCTGACTCTCCAAGTGCTCGGAGACAACTGACCAGCCGCTCATTCGTCCTATTACTTTCCGGACAAATCCTGTATGCTTCACTCATTTCTGTCTGTCTGTTCGTATGTCTGCCAGCCAACAACCGCCTATTACTTGAGAAGTACCCCTCGGATTTCGATATCATCTTTTCGAAATGTTACTAGTTTGCCAAGGACGCAAAGGCGTTATCGTTTTTGAGAATCGGGTCCGGTGGAGGCAGAAACCAAAAAAGAAAAGTAATAAAACTTTTTTTGACGTTTCAGAGGATCCTGATCATCTTTGACATTAGACATATTTCACACATCATATGACTGATCAGGAGACCGAAGAGTCTACTACTGCGGCCACCGCTGCTGCCTACTGCTGGTACCACTTCTGAGCAGGTTAGGTATCAGATGAAGGCAACACCAGATGGAATACCGCTGGGCAGGGAAGAAATAGCTATGAACGTGTTTGACTGACTTTTATGTCAGAGGGTCAAGTATATGCTTAACATAATCCTTTATGAACCAACATAGGCGTTGCATGGGACTTATATAGTCAACCTACTTCTTGCAAGTTTCATACTAGACAGACACGAATTACCATGGAACTGAGGCATCTTTCAGCTCTTAAACCTCAATTGATTGAGATTATTCGGACGTGTTTCAGGAACTCTTATGCAAAAATTCGTACAAAATATTATCAAGTCAATTTTGGAAACAACCGCACACTCCATTCTATACATCATAAGTGCTACTAACTGTATTAGTTCGTTCAATAAACAATTGTACCAAGTAAGTTGATTCTGCAATTATGCTCAATACAAGTTAGCTCTTCTGTGAAAAATGTTAGCTAGGAACATATACATTTCCACAAAAAAATTAAATGGATTGAAACAGGACCATACACTAGAATATGATACCCATCCATTTGACGACGTTGCGGTATAGAAAATTTTCCCCTGAACCGAGCATCTGGCAATGTTGTTATGACTGAGCTCGTCACTCGTCAGCCGCCCATTGGTCAAACATTGATCAAACCCTGACTACGTTCGTTCCGTTGCGTGCGATGAGTGTGTACTCTATTATTTTGAACTTTAAGGGGAAATGGCGAAATCTATAATGCGTGATATATGTCTAACAGGTTTATATAATTACGAGAGTTGGAGGAGTATTAATACACTAACGTTAAAAGTTTGAGTTGTATGCCCCCCAGTGCGCACAACCCCAACCCCCTAACTTTAACCTCGTTAATGTGTTAACAGACTTAAGTCACGCTAAAACATTTTCAACGCCTATGGAAAATATGATCAACTGAATGATGTGTGAAGAGGAATCTGGACTGTTTCTATATTCTGTTTACAAAGATTTGCGGTGCAAATACTTTTACAGTACTTTTGATAAAGAAGACCTTCCCATTGGCGCAATGTGTTGTTACTTTTCCACTATTTATCTTACCACTGAAACTTGGAAATCTGAAATTTATTCATACGTGGTTTCGTGCAAGAAATCAAAATACTTCGGTACCTCACTTTTGCATTTGTGGAAAAATAGCACAGGATACCAGCACAGTCCCAAGGTGCCCAAGCCATTGAAAGTCTAAAAAAAGTATACTCCAACTCTGCTATGGAAATTTTCGATTTCTCGGAAGATCACACGTTATATTTATTAATAAAGTTGCAAGTAATATTGAGGTGGTTTTCTTACACACATGCTCATATATTTTGACCTAATTAATAAATCAAGTTCTGGGATATCACAATAGTGAACTGCATTGTCAATTTTATGAAGAATCAAAGCAATGCTGTGACCTGCTCTTAATCCGTGGTCTTTTTTTATTTTGCGTGAAAGCAGCTGAAACTTACGTACTCGCCTTACAGATTGCTCTGATCTTTGGTATCCCGTTCTGCACGAATGGAACTACATGAAAAACATTAGACAGTTCTTGCGTTCATGGTGCAGTTTTTGTTTGGAATTCAGGTTGCCTTAAATCGATAATAGGTGAGCAAAAAATTAAATTAGTAGAAAGTATGGGAAGTACCATATTTGGAAATTACATGTGTTCGGATTGATTTAATACTCATACCCGTAGCAATGTTGCCAAGTAAGTAATCGCGTAAAAGCTTGCAAAATGATATATTCTTGGGATGTTATATGACATGTAGATCACGAGAAATCATGATACACATTTCCGTCGGTCTGTCGGTCTATGTCTGTAGGACTGCCTGTCGGTTTGTCTCTGTCCGCTAATCCTTGGCCCAGGTATAAATTGGGAAGTACCGCTCGGATTTGGATGAAACTTTCACACAAGGTTATTACCATTCCAAGTACGAGAAAACTTTGTAGCTTTTGGAAATCGGTCCAGTGGCGGCGGAGAAAAAGCCAAAATGATAAAAAAGGTCGCTCAAACTTCGTTTTTTTTTTTTTGACGTTTCAGGTTATATCTCAGTTTTATGACCTTGATATATTTTTATATGACTCCAACCCCGGTAATTCTAGGCACCCGTTACACATATTTTACTCATCATAGATGTCCCCATACATTTACCTTTAGAACTTGAAATAACTCCAACAGTCGCGTGTCGGTACGTGCGAGGAAAATGGTCATTTAATTTTCCGTTATTCATGTTCGTAGCTAACTCTCAGAAGGACTAACTTGTACCGAACATAATCGTTTACGAACTGATGACAGTGTACAGAGTCAACTTACTTACCGTCATTTTTATGGTTATTATAATGGGACCAACAAGATTTGCACTTATAGATCACGTGGAGGACCATAAGTGTAGAGTACTTGGAAGTCGAACTAAAATACCTTCTGTGTCTTTTCGTAAATACTGCAAGAACTCAG